TACCATCATGTTGGAAATTTGAATGCCTGCTGATTGGCACGTACCCCACCCCCCAGTCTCCCCATTCCTTGTTGCTTTCGCCCAGGGTGTGCCACGTACTGACCTTCCCTGCCTGACCCCGCTGGCCCATGTAGTGCTTTAATGAGTCACCTGACAGCCCACAGCCTCGCAGTGGCTCTGCCACGTACAACTGGCTGTGTCACATGAAGAACAAGGGTTCTAATACCATTGCCCTTGGTATTTGAGGTGACCTTACGCGAACAAACAAGTATGTTTTTACACAGGGGCTCAAGTACAGACCCACGCACGGCCAGCGCGCAAAGATTCCTGGAATGAATTCCAGAAAAGCATCTCTGTCATCGAATTGATAGGGCTGCCTGCAAAACCGCTTTCCAGTGTATCTTCAGGCCTTAAGCTCAGCAGCGACCTCCTTCGGTGAGTGAAAAGGCTGAAGTAGGTTGGAGTAAGTCTGGCCAGTGCGTGCAGCCACTCCCACACTCCAGGGCCCCGTGCCCATGGCAGACATCATTCGTGTTACACAGACAGGACCCCTTGGCTCTCCCTGCCAAGTGCCAAGTGAATCTGGCTTGTCTCAATCAAAGCCCACACTGGGGCATGGGCCCAGTACAGCTGTGTTGGACAATGGCGTCTAGACACAGGTGTTTGAGCTCATGTGCACACAGCCTTTCTAGAGTGAGCTCTTGCCGTAGCAGGCCTGGGGTACTGATCGTGAGAGCAGGTTGGCATAGGCCAGCCCTTCTGCTCTGTCTGTTCCACATGTGCCTGTTTACCCTTCTCCTTTCCACCATGAGTTGAAACAGCTCAAGGCGCTCACCAGATGCACCTGACCTTGGATGTCCAGCCTCCAGAACTTGGAGCCAGCACGGTCTTCTTTTATAAAATAACTTACCCAGTCTCTGGTATTCTGTGACAGCAACAGAGGACAGAGACACCCTGCAGGCAGATTTCCATACCCAGTGGCTCAGAGCTGCCAGGGCCAAAACATTTTGAGACATGGCCTTATTGGAACCTTGCAGGCATTGCTTCCATCAAAACTGGAAGACTTGAATGTACCAAAAGTTAGTCTGGAGTGCAATGATGTGTGAAGACTCCAAAGCACACTGTAAATTAGAGAGTGCTATAAAGGCAGCGGCTACTTACCCACTGGCTGCTCCGCACTCTACCTAAGTGGTTTCGATCATTTCACAGTGCCTGAAAGCTGGCTTTTAGCTCCACCTCACAGATGCGGGAACAGGGCTTGGATGATAAGCAGCTTGTTCAAATCTCACAGCTATGAGAAAGAGGTGCAGCCAAGATCTCCAAACCAATCCCCCACAGCCGTCTGACCCCAGGCCTGCACTCTTTGGTCATATGAGGTTGTGCTAGTTCCCAGATCATGTGCCAGGCACATATTTATTACTATAATAATAATTTCTATTGTAATCAACATTTTCATTAAATATAAAGTGGATCACGTTCCTCCCTCCCCCTCAGCTGTCCCCTCTTTCCACACTCCTCTACTGGGGCCCCCCAATTTTTTTAGGGTATGTGAATGTGATGTACTCTTACAGCGCAAACAGGAGGCAGGAAATAGCAAAGGATATAGGAGAAAATGCCAGGGTCAGGTCAGGAGCTTCCCACGTCTTCCCTTCCCAGCTCGGCGTGAGCCAGATGGAAGCCTGGGAGAGCCGAGGGAGGCAGGACTGCAGAGCCTGTGAAATGCCCAGAGAAAAGCGAACACATTTGCAGCTGGGACTAACGTCAGTTACCTTAGAACAGCTGCACTGAAGGGCCAAAAACACTCACGAATTTTCACTTTGCTGTTATGTCCTGCACAGAGCTGTGATAGTGCCACAGGCTGCTGAATTCCTGGACTTGTGAGTTTTCTAGATAGGAGCTGGTGTTCATTATGCACGTCGGTGGTTTAGCTGCTGCTACGGAAGTGGGTGGTGCTTATGGCTCCCAAGGAGTTACTGCATGCGCCGTCAGCTGCCTGCGGCTGTTGGAGGACCCTCAGAGGCAGTGACAGGCCGATGGTTCCAGATTCGTTCTCAACCCCAGGATGCTCGGAGCTGACTCACTCTCACTCATGGGCTGCCCTGTAGAAGAGTTGCAATTTTGTGGCTCTCCCTCCTCCTACTTTCACTGTTTGTTTTTGCTCCAGTAGTATTTAAACGCTGGAGAACTATTAAGTTTTAAACTCAAGATAGACCGTTAAGTGTTGTTCTCTTCTGTTGGAGTGTGAACCCCTGAGGGCCTGATGATTTCTGCTTTGTTGACTGTGGTGTCCAAGCACTGACTCCATCCCAGAGCTCATTCTCCTGGAGGTGGGAGGGCTTTTTTTTTTTTTTTTTTTTTTTTTTTTTTTTTTTTTTTAGATAATTAATCTTTATCTTGGCTTGCATGTGTTAGATGAGGCAGAACCCCCTACCCATCCACTGCTTCCCCCATCAGAAGATTTGGATCTCATCTGTAAGGGGGACATCACCTTATGTAACTGCTGGGGCTTGGGTCTTCTGTCACATGCCTACCCCTGCATTTTGAACCCAGGTCAAGCACTACAGGTGCATCCCATGACAAGACGGCGAGGGTGTCTGGAATGCAACCCTCGGAGTCTTACCCTTGCTTCCTCCACATAATGACTGTGACCCCTTGGGAAAGCTATTTAACCTCTCAACTTTTGTCTCTATTTTTTTTTTTTTTAATTTATTTATTTGAAAGGCAGAATGACAGCGGAAGCTGGAGAAACAGAGAGAGATCTTCCATCTGCTGGTTCACTCCCCAAATGACTGCAATAACCAGCGCTGGGCCAGCCCGAAGCCCTGCACCAGGAACTCCATCCAGGTCTCCTGTGTGGGTGGCAGGGGCCCAGGCCCTGGGTTGTCTTCTGCTGCTTTCCCAGGCTCGTTAGTGGGGAGCTGGATCAGAAACTAAACAACTGAGACTCAAACTGCCAGTCTGATACAGGATACTGGTGTTACGAGTGGTGGCTTAACCTGTGGTGCCACTACACCAGCACCCAACTTTTACCTCTTAAAAGCTGTTAGACATTGATTACGTTTGCATTTTAAAATATTTTGTGCTTAAATTTATATAAAGTTTTGAATTTAGTGCCTTTTATCTAGCAGACACTTAACCATATTTATTATTAAAGTAGAAACACAATAAATATTTGTTGATTGATAAATTAATCTTTCATGTCTCAAGCTCATAATCTATAAATAAAGAACTTTAGCCAAATGATTATAACTTTTCCATTCTCATATCTGTGGACTTAGTTATGAAGATGTTAGTAGTTTTGCTAAATTCTGATTCTGTCTATTACTACTTTTTTCAGGGTTATTGTGAGGGTATAAAATGTCAAATTCAAAATTGAAATAAGTCAAACAAATTGAACAAAAAAGGAGACCAAAAAGGAAAATGTTTCAAAATCACCCTAAGTTTATCCCCTGATAAACTGGTCTTCGATTTAAAGCTTTGTGGCATAGCCAGGTAGGCCACTGCTCGGTGTGTCAGCATCCTGTTTCAGGGTGCCACTGGAGTCCTGGCTACCCTGCTTGCCATCCAGCTCCCTATCAGAGCACCTGTAAGGCGGCAGATGATGGCCCGAGTACTTGGGTTCCTGCTACCCATGAGAGGGACCCTGATGGAGTTTCTGGCTTCAGGCTTTAGCCTGGCCTAGCCCCAGCTGCAGAGGGTATCTGGGGAGTGAATCATCAGGTGGCAGATCTCTCTTTTCTCTGTCTCACCCTTTCTCTGACCTCCTGTCTTTCAAATAGATACATAAACCTACAAATAAATAAAGTGTGTATGGTCAGCAAGAGTCATAGTTTGCAGCTTCCTTGAAGGTCTTTAACATCTCCATGGCAGTCATTAATCATCTTGTTTAAATATCTCTTTGTCAATGAACACGAATTCTTCCCTTGTGACATCGCTTTGCCTGTGAGGCCCTAGGGCCTAGGAGATGAAAGCATTAAGAAAATACAAGCCAGGCCAACAGCTACAGCCAATGAAAATCACTGAGTGAAAGCTCTGTTTAGTTATTAGGTTATACTCTTCTCTGAACTGATTCACTGAATAGTATTGTTTCTAAATAATTGTTATATCAAACAATAATTGATAGAAAATTAAGATACAGAATGTGTGATTTTTTTTAAAGATTTATTTATTTATTGGAAAGGCAGAGTTACCAAGAGGCAGAGGCAGAGGCAAAGAGAAAGGTCTTCCATCTGCTAGTTTACTCCCCAAATGGCCACAACAGCCAGAGCTGGGCCAATCTGAAGCCAGGAGCCAGGAGCTTCTTCCACATCTCCCATGTGGGTGCAAGGGCCCAAGGACTTAAGCCGCCTTCTACTGCTTTCCCAGGCCATAGCAGGAAGCTGGACCAGAACTGGAGGAGCCAGGTCTCAAACCAGCACCCATATGGAATGCCAGCACTGCAGGCTTGGGCTTTGACCTGCTATGCCACAGCAACAGCCTCCAGAATGTATGATTTTCTACAAATCAAATACAAAAATAAAAAGACAACCTTATAGAAAGATGGGTATTAAGGGAACAAGCAACATACAGAAGAAGAAATGCAAATAACCATTTAGTATATGGGAAAATAGACAAATTCATAAGCAAAGGAAAAGGAAAGGAAAGGCAGATTAAAGAAGGAAAATAACATTTCTACTCATTAGATTTGCACAACTTCAGTATTTGATAACGCCAGGGCTACTGAGGATGTGAGGAAACAGGAATGCAGACGCTGCTGGGAGGAGTCCTTGTGTAGCGGGACAGAGCCAAGGGCAGTGCCGTTGAGGGTGGGAGTGCCCTTGACTCAGTGTCTCTTCCCTCCCAAGTTCATGTGTTGAAACGCTGACCCCAGGTGGTTACTGTTAGGAGGGGGCCCTTTGGGAGGTCATTGGTCATGAGTGTGAGACATTTATGATGAGATTAGTGTCCCTGCAAACAGGAACACATGACAGCTTGCCTTCTCCCCCTCTCCCCTGTGAGGATACATCAAGAACACAGCCATCTGCACACCTGGAAGTAGATCTTCAGTGGATGCTGAATCTGCCAGCATCCTAATCTTGAATTTCTCAGCCTCCAGAGTGGTGAGAAGTAAATGTTTGTTGTTTAAGCCACCCAGTATATGGTAACTTGTTACAATGGGGCCTGGACTAAGATCTCAGCAGTTGGATGTGTGCACAAGTGGACAACTACTGGGGTGTTGCTGCTATGACAAAAAACAAGAAGGGAAAAATATTAATGTCCATCAAAATGAGAATAAATCATTAAACCATGAAATACAAAATTGGCTATTTCACAAAATAACACTTTTCAGCAGTTAAAATAACACAATGCTGAATATAAAAGAAAAACTCTAGGGGCTGGTATTGTGGTATAATGGATTAAGCCTCTACCTGTGGCCCCAGCATCCCATATTGGCACCAGTTCATATCCTGGCTGCTCTACTTCCAATACAGCTCCCTCCCAATGGCCTGGGAAAAGCAGCAGAAGGTGGCCCAAATGCCTGGGCCCTTGCCACCCACAGGGGAGACCCAGATGAAGCTCCTCGCTCCTAGCTTCGGCCTGGACCAGCCTTGGCCGTTGCAGCCATGTGGGGAGTAAACCATCAAATGGAGGACCTCTCTCTCTGACTCTCACTCTCTCTCTGTAACTCTGACTTTCAAAGAAATAAATACATAAATCTTTAAGAAGAATATAATACTCTGGGGGCCAGCACTGTGGTGCAGTGGGTTAAAGCCCTGGCCTGAAGCGCCGGCATCCCATATGGGAGCAGGTTCGAGTCCCAGCTGCTCCTCTTCCAATCCAGCTCTCTGTGATGGCCTGGGAAAGCAGTGGAAGATGGCCCAAGTCTTTGGGCCCCTACACCCATGTGGGAGACCTAGAGGAAGCTCCTGGCTCCTGTTTTTAGATCGGCACAGCTCCGGCTGTTGGAGCCATCTGGGGAGTGAACCAGCAGATGGAAGACCTCTCTGTCTCTACCTCTCTCTGTAACTGTCTTTCAAATAAAATAATTCTTAAAAAAAAAAAAGAATATAATACTGTGAACATAAATATAAATACTATGGCATCTTGGGAAAAAAGATTCAAAGGCAAAGATACCACTTTATATTGCTTGTGACTTGATCCCTGTGGGGTTAGTACCTTAAAACAGAGGGAGTAGGATACACCCAGTGCAGATGCAGGTTACCTCTTGAGATGGGGGTGACTCTATAAGCAACATCTTATGTCTTCAAAAAAATACATAAATGCACATAGGCACAAATATCTAAAACTCTTACCAAGTGGTGGTACTGCATCAGCGTCTCTGTTTGTTTCCTGTTGCTATAACACAGTGCCTGAGACCAGGGAACTCAACAAACCTCTGTTCTTTGTTGAGTTCCTATGGAGGCCAGGGAGTCCTATATATCAGGTTGCCGCCTCTGGTGAGGGTCTCCTTGCTGCTTCAATTCTTGATGGAAATCAGAGGGCCAGTGGCACCTGTGGAAGAGAGAAAAGGGGGTCCACCTCTTCTACACCTAAATGGTACCTGTCAGAAGGGCCTTCATTCCTTCATGAGGGGCTCCACCCCTGTGGCCCAAACACCTCCCACCAGGTCCCACTTTCCAACACTACCCAAGCTTCCACATGTGTCTGGGAGGCACAAACTATGTATTCAAACCATAGCAATGGGCATCTGCCATATGCTGCTTAATTTGGGGGCAGGAGGGAGAATTTTATAATTAAAAAAGTGCTTAGCAAACAAAGGTGCTACAATTAAAATACAATTAAAAGCAACATGAGGGGCCAGCACTGTGGTGCAGTGGGTAAAGCTGCTGCCTGCAGTGCTGGCATCCCATATGGGTGCCAGTTTGAGTCCTGGCTGTCCCACTTCCAACCCAGCTCTCTGCTGTGGCCTGGGAAAGCAATAAAAGATGGCCCAAGCTTTTGGGCCCCTGCACCCACGTTTGGGAAGAACTGTAGGAAACTCCTGGCTTCTGATTGGAGAGTGAAGCAGCAGATGGAAGACCTCTCTCTCTCTCCCTCCCTCCCTCCCTCCCTCTCCTCTCTCTGTGTAACTCTGACTTTCAAATAAATAAGTAAATAAATCTGTTTTTTTAAAGCGCAACATGAGATTTTACTCCTTTGCAGAGTAGCGCTGCCCTCTCTCCTCTTTTACTCTCTTGTTGCTTCTTTCTGTTTGGCAGTTGGGTGCCTGCTTATGCCTCCAGGTCATCTTCAAAGACCTCAGTGCTGGGTTAGGGACCTTCTTTGCATGCTTTCCTGGAACCCTCTCTTCTCCTTCTTGCTGCACTTGTTATCTGGTAGTGCTGCTTCCTGTTTACTTGCTGTGTGTCACCACTGGACCGTAAGATGTTCCTCTAGGTGCAGGTGGTTTGTTTGCTGGAGCATCCTCAGGGAACCATGTGCAATGGTGTGCATTAGATGGTTAAAGAATGACTGCCTGGAGGAATGGATACTTCTATGGCTTAAGTTCAGTGCTGTGTGTACAGTGAGCCAGGTCTAGATACGTGACATCACCACTTGATGCACTGGAACTATAGCCCCAGAGGTGCTGCGTGCCCCTTTCTTGGATTCTGCCCATGGGCTTCCTGTAGGTGATGCTGAGGCTTGTCCAGGATCCACTGACACATCCCGCTCTAGAGTCGGGCTCCTTGCAGGCTTTGGAGGAGTCAAACACCATGCGATTGAATTTCCTGGGCACTGGGAGGTCGAGGTCCTCCAGTCCACCTGCCAGCCACTGTTCCTGCCTCCCCCACATCCAGCAGCTGAGGCCCTGCTCTGTCCCTGATTAAGGTTGGTCTGACTTGAGGCCCACCAGGACGACTTCCTTTCCTTCTTACTAGCCCCTGGCCTGGCTGTGCACTTGAGAAGGGCCCCACGGCCTCAGACCCACAGAGGCTTGCTTGCACCTCTTCTCTTTGCCTCTTCTTCCTTCCTCTCTCATTCATTCATTAGAAACTGCTGCCAGGTCAAGCCCACCGCCATCAGGTCCAGATAGCCCCAGCTCAGCCTTGAGCCCCATGAGTGAGGCTGAAGCCCCTCCCGACAAAGCCTGCTGTGGACTGGAAGCTGCTGGAGCCTGGTGGTCTCTCGTGGCCTCACCAGGTCGCTGACATCACAGAGCAGGAAGGCCTGAGCTTAGAGCTGTGGGGATGTGTTTCCAGGGTTTCTGGCAGGTGGCCCATGCAGCCACAGCATCTCAGAAGAATCTACCTCTATCCAGGCGTGACCTGTGGTGACTTACCTCACCTATCCAAACCTGTTTCCTCATCTGCAAAATGGGATAAAGAATAGCTGGCAGCAGGATTTTGAGATCATCTGTAGGGCTGGGAGGTGAAGTGGGTAAGTGGGCAGCATGCCTAGTTTTGCTCTTTCCAGCTGGCAGCTTCTGTCTCCCGCTCTGAAACAGACAAGCATGTTTCCTGCCTCGTGCACCATGCATGCTTAGAACAATGCCTGGTGCAGAGTAGATGCTGTCCAAACCCTGGCTGCTTTGCAGTATCTGCCATAGTAAGCACTCGATGCACGTTATGATCTACAACTATGATTGATACTGATGAGGACTAATGAGATCACACATGGTGACACCTGTATGCGGTGAGTATTCAGTGGATAGTGCTTTCTCCCCTCTTAACCTTGGATGTTGGAAGAGGAAGCTTAAAAATGTTAATTTATTTGACTGGTAGAGAAAAAGAGAGAGAAGAGTGTGCTCCCATCATTGGTTCACTCCCCGTGGCCCAGGCTAGTCCGGGGGGGGGGGGCAAAGGTCAGAGCAGGGAACTCAATCTAAGTCTCCCACAAGGGTGGAGGAACCCGGTTACTTGAACCTTCACTGCCACCTCCCAGGGTCTGCAGCAGCAGGAAGCTGGAATCCGGAGTCGGAGCCAAGTATCAAGCCCAGGTGCCCGGATGTGGGACATGGGAATCTTCACTGCTAGTGCAGTTCATTCCTGCACCAGGTTTTTAATCCTTAATACATTTAATCGAGAACAGGAATTGATACACTGCAGCCTTATTTTTAAGGAGAAACATATGTTTCAGTTCAGAGAAAAAGTTACTTTTTGGTAACGTTTTGGTGAAATTAATACTATGTAAAGTGATGTTTTTTAATGTTTCCATTATAAATGATAATAAAATGCCTACATTTAGTTTTAACTGAGGGTGTGGATGTCAAAAACTTCTGACTCTAAATTTTTACTGTGTTTTCTTTTATGAGCTCATTACTGCTGGGTTTTTCCATAAATTTGAAACATGTGTATGGTACTTTGGAAAGAAGATTATTTGCTTAAACTTTATAGACTGAGCTAAAAATAGAGAAACACTGTTTCTATTTTTGGAATGTCTTAAAACCTAAAAAGTGAACATGATTACTGTACATATTAAAGAAAAATATCAAGGGAACAGATATTTAACTAGCAAGTCTAATTTAGCTGATTTTGAAATGCCATAAGCACTTTGATGTTATTTTTTAAAAATATGGTACATTTGTTTATTTTCTTATTTATTTGAAAGGCAGAATGTCAGAGAGAGAGCGAGAAATGAGAGAGAGAATTTGCTTCTCCTGATTCACTCTTCAAATTGCTGCAACAGCCTGGACAGAGTCAGGCCCTAGCAGGAGCCAGAACTGCTCTCTGATCTCTCACATAGGTGGCAGGGGCCCAAGCACCACAGCCATGATCCACTGCCTTCCCAGGCACACTAGTGAGGAGCTGGGACTCAAATTCACACTCGGATATGGGATGCTGGCTTTGCAAGCAGTGGCCTTGTGTGTAAGATGTCTGTGAAATATAAAGGAATTTCATGTTTAGATGGGTTCCATCCCCAAGATATTTTATTATGCACATTTGAATATTCTATTTTTTAAAATCTGTAATGCAGAACACCAATTATCCCAAGCATTTCAAATAAGGGCTACTCAACCTGTAAAATGTTCTTTGACTCATCACCTGAACTTGGGCCCACCCCAAATAAGTCCTCTCCAAATTTGTCCTATTTTCTCCTACATCCCCCCTCCTCCCACCTTCATTCATCAATTTATTGAGCACTATTTCTTTGGAAGTGAGTTTTCAAATAGTCTTGCCACTGAAGATTCCATTTTTAACCCAAGAGGATTTACCATGTGTGCGTGTGTCCTTGAGAGAAAGCAAGTGATATGGACAGGTGGGCAGGCTGGAGGGGTGGGGCAGGGATAGGGGCAGCAGGAGTGTGAATGAACCTTGGGAGGAATTTCTGAACAAGGAGAGTGTTTGGCCTAATGGTTGGGATGCCCCGGATGAGTCACCTGTGTCCCTACCACCCATGTGGGAGATGTGGGTCCCCAGCTCCCGGCTTCTGCCTCTAACCCAGAGCCATTGTGGGCTCTCTGGGGAGAGAACCGGCAAATGGAAGCGCTCTCTGTGTCTCTGTGTGAAAGAGAGAGGGAGAGAGGAAGCAGGTGGCGGGGCTAGTATTGCTGGTGTGCACCATCTCGGCTCAGTGACAAGGACAGGAATTTACCAGAGAACCTTGGATGAGTCACGGCTTCACTTACAGAGTTAAGGCAACAAATGGAGCACAGACTTCCTGCCAGACATAGCAACTCATAAAAGGGAGAGGGAACTATCATGTCACGTCGTGGGGACGTACCCATTCTGGAATGAGTTTTGGTGAGCACACAACCTTCTCTTTGATCTTAACTGTTCTTCCTGTCGTATTTTGTGTATCTGCTCTGAGCCTGAGGTCACCAGCCCATCATTTCTATCTGACTTCTGTGTTTGAAACAGGTCGTACCCATTGTTACTCCAATAGGAAGCATTGCTGCTGCTGCTGCTCCCGCCAACAACACTAACATTTGCTCAGTAGTTACTGTATGCAAGGATTTAGGCTCAGTGCTTAATGGGCATTGTCTCATTTAATCTTAAAGCGGCCCTTGTATTTATTTGAAGGCAGAACGAGAGAGAGAGAGACAGACAGAGAGAAAGGTCTTCCTTTTGCCGTTGGTTCACCCTCCAATGGCCACCACGGCTGGTGCGCTGCGGCTGGCGCATTGTGCTGATAAGGCAGGAGCCAGGTGCTTCTCCTGGTCTCCCATGGGGTGCAGGGCCCAAGCACTTGGGCCATCCTCCACTGCACTCCCTGGCCACAGCAGAGAGCTGGCCTGGAAGAGGGGCAACCGGGACAGAATCCGGCACCCCGACCAGGACTAGAACCCAGTGTGCCGGCGCTGGCCCCACTGGTTCATTCTTTAAATGCCCATAATTGGCCCTGAGTTAGAAGTAGAAGCCAGGAGCTAGGAACCCAATCTACATCTCTGATATGAGTAGCAAGGAGCTAGCTACTTGAGCCGGCACCTGCCATCCCCCAGGGTGTGCTTTAGCAGGAAGCTGGATCAGAAGCTGAGGTGGGACTCAATCCTAAGCACTCTGATATGGAATGCAGACGTCCCAAACGGCAGCTTTACCCACCTCAAGCTCACCCATTGAAGTACTGGGTCCAGT